CCCAGGGAGAGAATTCCTCAGATCTAAAAATTATTGTGAATGCGGATCAAGATTTCAATTCTCCTTTCTTGATTACTGTTGAAATCGACACAATTATGGCCACCTTCCTGGACTCAAAGGATAGTAAAGGTGTTCCTCTGCATGGGCGATATGGTGGAGTGATGTATCGTGGGTCATTTTATTTTGCTTTTCAACCGTGACATCATATTGATCAGCTGTACATATTCCAACAGAATGTGATGGAGAAGGCTACCGCGAGATACCTCTCCCAAATCCGTGGCGTATTAAAGCAAATGGGAAAGTGATTCGACATGTACCTATAACACTTTATTCAGACGATACTTCTGGAAATGTGTCAAAAAAATGGAACAAACACATGAGTTACTATTTTACTCTATCTGGTTTACCTCCAGGAATGACGAATCAAGAATATAATATTCACTTTCTTTCGACTTCCAACAAAGCAAGCGCTCTTGAGCTCGGTGAGAACGTGGTTACTGAATTAAAGTAATTTCTACACTTTATCATCCAACATCCGCATTTACTGACATCTGTAACTTTTGCTTAGCGTGCTTGGAAAGGACGGATTCATAACTTACGACGAATTGCTGAAAGAAGATGTTCTTGTAATGGTTGTTCCTTTATGTCATCTGGGAGACTCTCCTATGCATGCCGAAATCACCAACACCACGAATCCCTCGGTTACTTTGAATCCCTGTCGAATATGTACACTCAGTGTTGAAACACTGAGTGCGAAACAAGATGCTAAATATACGAGAGCTTTTGTAGGTGTTCATCAAGAAGACGTATGTAATTTTATTCATAATCTTTAGCGGAAAAAAAAAGTAATAGTAACATTGATCCAATCTCAACGTGTTGATACAGGGAGGTCCTAAGCCCCGTGAATGGGCAACTACGAAGTCACAAACTTACGAGTTGTGGGAATTGCTTCAAAATCCGAAGAAGCATGCTGAATTTCTTAGAAAATCAAAAGAATACGGTGTTAAGGACACAACAAATCATCAATTCGTTGGACAGTTTCACAACCTTCATAAAGATCATGATTATTCAAAAGAGGAGGTGCATAAAATGTTTACAGATCTCAACAAACAATTTGGCGATCGACTGTTCAATCCTTTTTTAAAGTTAGACGGTAAGGATTCTGAGCATGTACATTGGTAACGAGATAACTAACGTACAACTTTTAGGTTTTGATGGTCATCTAGATACACCGGTAGAATCTCTGCACGTCGCCTTACTTGGAGTGGTCAAATATCTATTCAAAGATGCAATGGATAATCTTCCGGATTCCGCACTACCTTCTGTTTTGGCGCGATGGAAATCTTTTGATACGTCTGGCTTAAATGTTCCACCGATCCAACCGAGAACACTGACAACTTATTATCAGAGTTTGGTTGGTAAAGACTTTCATACAATCTTACAATCAATACCTTTTGTCCTCTTTCCACATTTCTCTTATGAAAGACGAAGGATGTGGACTGCATTAGTCCACCTAGGTTCTTACATTTTTCAAGCTGAAATCACTCACGTACACACCTACTTAAAAAATTTAAAGAAACTGGTAAATATATTCCTTGGCCACCTTATCCGATGGACCGCACAGTGGACAAACAAACCCAAGTTTCATATGCTTGTTCATCTGGTCGAATCAATCGAACGGTTTGGTCCACTCTCTTTAGTCGCAACACAGAAATTTGAAAGTTTCAATGGTATACTACGAATCGCCTCAATTCACACTAATCGACACAATCCGGGCCTTCACATTGCTAGAATTTTCCTTTACGCCCGCATGCTTCGCCATATATGTTCTGGAGGCTCATTTTGGGATCACAAATACCACTGTCGAGCACGTGCAGGGAATAAATTGATTGCGTTGTTCTCAAAGTCCAAATGGATCCAGAAGTTCTTTTCTTATAACGTTGATTGGAATTTAAAAGGAAATTTCTCAATGAAGGGTATGTTAGTGTATAATTATTTGTGAATGAAAGGATTAAATGACTGATGAGTATCATATTTGTAGGTCAATGTGAAAAAACTGCATCTGGGTCAATTCCAAGCGAGCTGAAGAAGGGATTTCCTGCTCATATTTGGACACCAAAGAAAGAAGCAGTTCTGGCATCCAAACAGCGAGTTCATCTGCAGAACTTTGTTCTAATCGACCTCAAGTCAAGTGACTCGCCACAAGTGGGTCGTGTTGAGGGTTTCTGGGAGGGTACACGCTCCAAAAGTATTGAGCACTTAGTACACATCAAAGTCTGTACAGTCCACGATACCATTGATGAATTTTATGGATTTTGCGGCCTAAGTATCTCTCAAGAAGATCTATGGATATCGATTAGGGTAAATTATCTTTGATTGAAACTTGTCCTTTAGTTTGCATGCTGAAAAAAGATCTTTTACAGGACGGTCAAATGTGTCCTGAATGTCCAACACAATTGCAATCAGGCGAAGTGCCAACCCCAGAAGAGTCCACGAATACACGATGGACAACTTCCAGTGAAATCTCCATATCAGATGCGACATGAAGCCTTCAATGGCTACATAATCAACTCGGGTGCTCTATATTCGGCGGAATCGCATAGAAGTATAGCGAAGATTGATTATAAACCATGGAC